ATAATTAATATGTTGTTCCCTATGTTACAGTACAGTGGTGGTGACCTCATTTTATAAATAAAACGTTGAAACTAGAGCTAAATCATTCCTGAAGATTACATTGAGTCCATCTTGCATTGATGTAGTTCGGATGTCTCGTACCGTTCTGTCCTTTTGAGTTTTCTTGACGCCATGGTCTTATTTCTTCTTAAGTAGATTTTCTAAGCATCAGCCTTTGGGACCCATCTAAAGTTAAGAACAAAACATTGTGATGTGAGGGTTAACTCTTGCTGTTTTTATTGGTCCACTGTATTCTAGGAGGTAAAAAGTGAGAAAAGTCTTTTCTAGATGCAGTCTTTAAAATAATTGACATATTAGCAGATTGAAATTTGAATTTTTTTGAGACAGTCTCACTGTGTAGTTCAGACTGATGATCTTCCTGCCTCAGCTTCCCAAGGGCGCCACCATGCCCGGCTCAAAACTTAAATTTTTTAAAAGTAAAAAATGTTCATTGTAGTAAAAAAAATGCAAAACTATGGGATTGTTTGTGCTCTTCAGCGCTTTCTGTCAGGGGTTAGCAGTCCTGCTTCTCTTTACAAAGATTTAATATGTACTTACATTTTTTAAATAGACTTTTACAAGATAAAAATAAAACCGTACTCTACATAAGAGTATTAACCTTTTTTTTTTCCAGTACTGGAGATTGAACCCAGAGTCTTGGTACTGAGTTACATCCCCAGTCTTTCATTTTTATATTTATTTTTATTTTTTTGTTACTTTTTGCGATGGGTTTCACTAAGTTGCGCAGACTGGCTCAAACTTTTGATCTTTCTGCCTCAGCCTCCCAGAATGCTCGGATGATAGGCATGTACCGCACTGCTCATCTTAACTTACTTTTTATTAAGAAGTAAGGGCCTGTCGTGTTGTACTAAAATGATAGGTTTTGAAACACATAGATTTGTTTCATAAAAGCATTGCCCCCTTGAAACACCCAGTGCCTTTGTTCTTAAAGGTTTTCAATGCATGTGTGTGCTGCCTCTCTGCAGCATTACTTGTATGTCAGGATGGCCAGTTTATGGGGGTCTCAGACAGTTGGATCCTGCTTTTCTTCTTTTGTAGTGAAAAACTGGGTAAAGTTTTTAAGGGAAGGGGGAAATGCATATTTAACCCTTCACCTTTCTTCAGTGTTAGTGGCGTTAAAATGTTTAAGATTTTTAAAATTTTAACTTTGGTTTGTTACACAAGTTACCCCTGAAAACATTCTAGTTGAAAACTTTTGAGTAATAAGAACAAAGTAATATTCTAACTTGGTTTTTATTCAAACTTAAGTTCCTTTTGTAGAAAGAAGCAGTTAACAATTTTGTATGGGTCCACTCAGGCCTTTTATTTATTTATTTATTTATTTATTTATTTATTTATTTATTTTAAAGAGTAAAAGAAGTATAACATAATAATAGGGGCTGCTTACCAAATTACAGACAAAGTGGTAGGAAATTATCAATGGTTATTGTTTCACATATTGTTATCTACAAGATAGTTTCTCAGGAAAACAAATAGATAATCGTGAGTTACAGACAAAAGAGGTAGAAGATTATCAATAGTTGTTGTATTATACTTTGGTATCTTCAAAGTGGCTTCTAAAGAAAATAAATAGAGCTATA